GCAAGCTCTAATCCAAGGTTTTCCATCTCAGCGCTGTTGACAGTTTGGGCTAGATAATTCAGTGGGGTGTGGTGGTGGTGGTGGTGGGGTTGCTGTTCAGTTGTTTAGCAACATCCTTGGTCTTTAGCCATTAGTTGCACCCTCCTCCCCCAGTTGTGACAACCTGAAATGTCTCCAGATGTTGACACCTGTTCCTCTGGTGGCAAACTCACCTATGATTGGATGAGGGAGGAAAGGGAAGACCAGTAGGACAAAACGTGAGGGGAGGGGAGGATACTAAGGCCAGAAGGACTGCATTACTTGACAAAGGGAAAGGCAGTACAAGGAGAGAGAGAGAGAGAGAAAGGGAAGAAAGGGGAGCTCTCTTTGGCTAGATATTTCCACAAGCCAAGTGTGTAAGTTATGGCCCTGATCTCATTTAGTCTTCTTCACAGGCCTTCAGGCCTCCAGTCGGTCTGGTAAACCCATTCGTCCTAGGCTAGCTGGTTCATTCATGCCTTTCCTATGCATACATCTCTTCAGGATTTTGTGCTGTGAACAGGATGAAGTTCTGACCCTTAACATGGCTTATAAGGCTCTTAATTATTCAGCCACACCGAATTATTTGTGCTTTGTTTTATTCTTATTGGCTTTTTTCTTAGTTTATTCATTTCCTTTATTTTTCTCTCTCTATGTGAGAGAGAGAGAGAGAAGCATACGAGTCTTCATGTCACTGTCCACCCTCAGTCTCAGCCAGCCTAGATCATAGGCACCTGTGCATACGGGATGTGCTTAGGAGGCCCCAGGGCATGAACCCAGGACCTTTTCCATGTGGGTCTAGCTGCATTACTGCTGCACCACTGTCCAGCCCTGTTTGTGCTGTTTTCTCACCACTGTGAGTGCAGTTGTGTGTGCTGTTCCCCTGTTTGGAAATCTCTCCTTCTCCCCTTTTTCCATATCACTAGGCTTATTTATTATTGTCCTTGGATATTACTTCCTCTGGGGGAAGCATTCTTTATTTGGGAAACTGAACTAAAGCATTGGCTGATAGGGCAGAGAGAAAAGCGAAGCATTCTTTTAGGGTGAAGGGTGAGATCAGAATCAAGGGGAGATTCCTGGGAAGAACAATGAAAAGAAGTACTAGGTGGATTGTAAGCCATGGACGCTTACGGGAGGTTAAGTAGACTTAAGGAAAGGAAGGTTGTGTTCCTGCAAATAAAAGTCTGGTGCCAAAGGTGCTTGAGTCCGATTACCTTTCAAAGTCTGAATCTTCTTCCCTTGCTACCCCATTCCTCCTGTTCTGCTGTTACCAACTCCCACTTTAGGCTTGGCTAGTGGGACTATGACTTGAGGGCACTGAAGGTTAGAACTGTCGGAAGGGAGTGCAGGAAGGACCTGCTCTATCCTGTAATTTTATGTACTTGCACATCCACCTGTTCCCATCCCAAGATGGGTGAGAGATTATTGGTAGTGAGATGTCTTGCCCTTACACACCCACCTTAGCATCAGTTGGGTATGGAAGGATAAGTGAGGCTGGGCCAGTTAGACTTGCCACCCATCCACTCCCAGAATTACCAATATTTTCTTCCTTCTTCTATTTGCCACAGAATCTGAAGAAGAGTTGGCACCCGCAGACCCTCCGCAATGTGGAGAAGGTGTGGAAGGCTGAACAGAAACATGAGGCTGAGCGGAAGAAGATCGAAGAGCTTCAGCGGGAGCTTAGAGAGGAGCGGGCCCGGGAAGAGATGCAGGGCCAGATCCCGCGAGGTCGTCCCTGAACTATTTTTCTCCGATTCCTCTGGATTCTCCCTGAGTCTTCCAGGCCAGCGTAGCGAGGACACGACTCCACCATCATGGGGGGTGGAGATCTGAATCTGAAGAAGAGTTGGCACCCGCAGACCCTCCGCAATGTGGAGAAGGTGTGGAAGGCTGAACAGAAACATGAGGCTGAGCGGAAGAAGATCGAAGAGCTTCAGCGGGAGCTTAGAGAGGAGCGGGCCCGGGAAGAGATGCAGCGCTATGCGGAGGATGTCGGGGCTGTCAAGTAAGCCAGGAGAGGGCGTCCGGGTGTGCAGGGACCTGCAAGACCGGCATGCAGGGGCATATCCAGGTGTAGCGTGATGATGGGGTGGTTAAGAGGGCACTTTTAGAGTCAGACTGACCTGGGTTCTGAGGTTGGCTTTGCACAGACTAGTAATTAGGAGCTGCTCTGGGAGCCTTGGTTACTTCAGTAGAACCAGGGGAGAGATAATGCCCGGCTCTGTAAGATTGCTGGCCAGTAAGTGAGATAACGTGTAAGGTTAGTGTGGGCCAGGCTGGTGGTGGTTAGTTGACAGCCTTGACTGAGCATGGTTGCCCCTACCCTGTCTCTCAGTACGTCAAGGCTTCAGTTCTGCCTTTCGTTAATGTAGTTCAGGTTCATTTTAGAGGGACAGTGACGTCCTACAAAAGGAGGTGCATGCTGTGTGATTGTGGACAATTCCACTCGGGTTCACCCTGTTTTAGATAATAATTACCCTATTTATTTTGTGAAAGAAGTTGGGAGTAAACATATTCCAAGAAAATATAAAGCATCTGGAAACCGAACCAGCAGTTAGCGTAATGGCTATGTCACTGGACTCCCACATAGTCAACCGTGGTTCGCATCCCGGACCCAGTGGCTTAAAACTCATGCCGGGCGCATGTGTGTGCATGCCCAAGATCCCGAGAGGAGAATGGAGGAGAAGGGATTGCGGCGTGACCATCCCCCCTGGGGGGTGATTTCTCGCTTTCTGTCTCTATGTCTCTCTCTGTCTGTCTGGCGAGCGCACGCGCCCTATAGCGAAAACCTCTCCAAAAAAAAAGAAAATATAAAGCATAAAATATGCAGTACATTCGTAAATAATGAAATAAAAATGATAGACTAAAACTGAGTAATCTGTATTGTCATTCCCCCTGTTTGTATCCTAATGGCAAGGCTTTAGGTGCTGGGTGACACACTCCCTCACTGGGTTTGCAGAGCTTTGAGTAATTTTATGACAGGAAGATGGGTGACATTTAGGGCTGCGTGTGTGAGACTTAGTTTCAATTCATGGAAATGGTATTTTGGAATTTAAGTGGGAGAAAAATCACACTCATTTGGGAAAATGAACTGGGGAGAAGGCTATTCATACTTCCCTATGAAATTTCGAACGTTTTGAGACCAGCAGATGGTGTAATGGTTACACTGCTGGACTCCCACATAGTCATGCCTGGTTGAAGTCCTGGACCTGGCAGCTTAAAACTCATGCTGGGGATGGGGACCAGCAGGTGGCATGGTAGTTAGGGCGCTGGACGCTCCCACATGGCAGACCACGGTTTAGGTCCCGGACCTGGTTGTTTGCTTTCTTGCTTTCTCTCTCTCTCTCTCTCTCTGGCTCTCTCTGGTCAAATTACAATGAATAAATAAAATTTTCAAAAGTAAAAAACAAAAACTCATGCTGGGTGCACGTATGTGTGTGCCCAAGATCCTGAGAGGAGAATGGAGGAGGCTGAGGAGCTGAGGTGTGGCCATCCTCTCTAGGGGATGATTTCTTGTTTTCTATCTCTTTGTCTCTCTGGTGAGCGCATATGCCCTATAGCAAAAATCTCTTTAAAAAAAAAAAAAAAGAAAATTTAGAATAGTTTAGATGGAGCTTTGTAATTTTCAAATGCAATATGATATAGTTAGGGTATTGATACTTAAAATGAAGTAAGGGAATGAAATTTTATTTTAAATTTTGCCAGAGTGTGTGTACACTTGTGGCGGGGGGTGGCGAGAAGGAAAGGGAGAAAGCACCCTCCGTGGCGGGCGGTCATCCCATAACCTCTTCTCCATCTCCATTTCTCCCTCCTTTCAGAATTTTAGGCGTGCATACCCTTGCGCCTGGTGTGTTTTTAAGGATGCCAGGTCTGGGACTTAAACCATGAAGTCTGCCATGTGGGATTCAGTTGCCTTAACCACCATGCCACTGGCTGGCCCCCCAAGGTACCGATTTTTTTTTTTTTTAAGAGGTTTTTGCTATAGAGCACAGAAAGACAGAGAGAGACAGAGAGACAAAGTGAGAAATCACCCCCCAGGGGGGATGGCCATGCTGCAATCCCTTCTCCTCCATTCTCCTCTTGGGATCTTGGGCCTGCATGCACAGTGTGAGTTTAGGTCATGGGTTTTGGGACTTGAACCATGGTCTACTACATGGGAGTCCAGTGACATAGCCATTATGCCAACTGCTGGTCTCCCCCCCATCCCCGCATTTAAAAAAAAATTTTGCTATAAGGCACATGCAATCCACGGAGAAAGAAGGGTGGAGGGTAGCCCAGGGAGGGGGATGGCCATGCCACAAGCTCTTTTCCTCCTTTCTCCTCTTGGGATTTTGGACACACACACGTACCCAAGTGTGTTTTACAAGCTGCCGGGTTAGAGAATCAAGCCACACAGCCAGTTTGTGGGATCTAACACCTTCACCACCATGCTACCAGCTGGCCCCGAAGACAGCTGGCCTTCCAGGGGTCTTCTTTCCCTGTGGCTTAACCATACTGTAGTTCTGTAGTTGGTTGTGGAAGAAACCTCCCCATGTTGCAAAGCTACTTCCTCACTATGGACCTTAGGTTTTTTATTATTATTATTTTTTGCTACAGGGTACGTGTGCTTGCCAGAAAAACAGAGAGACAGGAAGCGAGAGATCACCCCCCAGGGGCATGGCCATGGGGCAATCCCTTCTCCTCCATTCTCCTCTCGGGATCTTGGGCACACTCGCACACGCGGCTAGCGTGAGTTTTAAGTCACCAGGTCTGGGACACGAACCATGGTTGACTACGTGGGAGTCCAGTGACATAGCTATTATGCCATCCTCTGGTCCCTGGACCTTAGATTTTAATAGCTGTCAAACTCTCATCCTCTGTGGTTTTCTTACACTGGAGAACTGGGAAAATCTGCAGTCTTCTACAGTTGGCCAATGTGTGCTCTCCTGCATACTTGCCTAACTTGACACCAGTGGTGAGAGTGATGCTTGGCTAGCTGGATGGAGCCTTACCCAGCAACCCACAATTAATTCTTTTTTTTTTTTTAAGTATTATTTATTATTTTTTTAAACTTTTTAAAATTATTCATTTATTTTGATTTTCAAGCTGCCGGGGGTGAGACTTGAACCATTGTCGGCTATGTGGGAATCCAGCACCTTAACCACACACCACCTGCTGGCCCTTTTATTAATTATTATTATTGGGACCAGCAGTTAGCATAATAGCTATGTCGCTGAACTCCCATGTAACCGACCACAGTTCGAGTCCCTGACCTGGTGGCTTAAACTCATGTCAGGTGCGTGTACGTGTGTGTCCAAGATCCCGAGAGGAGAATGGAGGAGAAAGGATTGTGGCATGGCCATCCCCCCGGGGGGTGATTTCTCGCTTTCGATCTCTCTGTCTCTCTCTTTATGGCGAGCACACGCGCCCTATAGCAAAAACCTCTCAAAAAAAAAAAAAAGTATTATTATTCAATTTGACCAGAGCGAAGACAGAGAGAGAGAGGGAGGGAGGGAGGGAGGGAAGGAGAGGGAGAAAGCAAGCCATAAGGTCTGGGACTCAAACCATGGTCAGTCAAGTGCCTTAACCACCACACCACCTGCTGCCCCCCCCAATTCTTTTATTATTATTATTATTTAAATAATGTTAACTATTTAATAATTTATTTTATTTTGACCAGAGAGAGAGCAAGAGAGGAAGTGAGAAAGCAAGCCACCAGGTCTGGGACTCAAACCATGGTTGGCCATGTGGGAGTGTCCATTGCCTTAACCACCACGCCTCCTGCTGGTCTCCAATCAATTCTTAATTATGACTCTCGTGTTTTTCAAACCAATACTCCCCCCCGCCACCCCACCCAAGAGAGTGCTTGTGCTTGCCAGAGAAAGAGAGAAAATAAGAAAGGGGAATGATCATGCCACAATCCCTTTTCTTCAGTTCTCCCGAGATGTTGGGCTCACAAGCATATGCACCTGTAGTAATTTTCAAGCCACTGGGTCCAGGACTTGAACCGCAGTTGGCCATGTGGGAGTCCAGTGACCTGATCACTATGCCATCTTCTGGCCCCAAACTGATCATTTTTTTTTTTTTTTTTTTGGTTATATAAGTTAACTCATTTATTGTAGGCTAGTGATATTCCAAATGTTTATGGAGTGTCTCCTGGTCTTTCAATTCCTTCAGTCTTCTGATGGCGGACTTCACTGTGACAGCCAAAGTGGTGGTGCAGGTCCAGGCACCACCAGCTGACATTTTCATGCAGGAATCACAGTGCCAGATCCCCACATCTTAGTTTGCCACAGAAGGAGCAAGTGCACTTGGCATGTTGGCTGATTTCAACTTTCTTCACCATTTTCTGGAGGGAGACACCATAGCGGGTCCCGTATTTACTGACGAGGCCATATTGCCGTCACCTAGTCCAAGCCCAGAGAACCAAACTGATCCTTTCAACAAGAAAAAAATGTCTAGAGTCATGGTCCTCTAGTATTGGTTTGAATTATTATTATTAAAAATGGTCCATCCAGGGCCAGCGGGTAGCAGGTTATGTCACTGGACTCCCACGTATTCAACCGTAGTTCAGTTCCTGGACCTGGTCGCTTAAAACTCACACCAGGCATGTGTGCGTGCGTGTGTGCCCAAAATCCCGAGAGGAGAGTGGAAGAGAAGGGATTATGGCTTGGCCATCCCCCCAGGGAGTGATTTCTCGTTTTCTGTCTCTCTAGTGAGTACATGTGCCCAGCAGCAAAAATCTCTCTTAAAAAAAAAAAAAAAAGGTCCAACTCTATAGCAGGTGCTACGTGTTGCTGCTTGTTAGGCTGAGGCCATGTGGGAAGCCTGATTTCAATCCTAGCCCACTTAAGAAAGCCAGGTAAGGGGACCAGCAGTTAGCGTAATGGCTATGTTGCTGGACTCCCATGTAGTCAACCGTGGTTCATGTCTCGGACGTGGTGGCTTAAAACTCACGCTGGGCGCGTGTGCTTGCATGCCCAAGATTCCGAGAGGAGAATGGAGGAGAAGGGATTGCAGCATGGCCATCCCCCTAGGGGGGTGATTTATTGCTTTCTGTCTCTTTCTCTGTCTGCCTGGCGAGCGCATGCTCCCTATGGCAAAAACCTCTCCAAAAAAAAAAAAAATAGGTAAGGGGCTGGCAGGTGGCATGGTTGTTACTGGTGCTGGACTTCCACACAGCTGACTGTGGTTCGAGTCCCAGACCTGGCGGCTTGCTGTCTCATTTTCCCTCTCTCTCTCTCACTCACTCACTCTGTCCCTCTCTGGTCAAATTAAAATAAATAAGTAAAGTTAAATAAAATAATTCTTTAAAAAAAAAAAGCCAGGTGAGGTGGCATGCTCCTAGGGTCTCAACTCATTGGGAAGTTGAGACAGGAAGATTGACAAAGTGAAACCTTATCTAAAACACCGTACCCACATATGCACATGCACACACATACAGAAGGTTCAAACATAACTAGGAAGACGTTCTTTTTATATGGTAGAGAATGCACGTGTGTACGAGAGAGAGGCACCTTGAACAAGGTGTTATCACGCTGTAATCTCCTTCCCTAACCTTCCAGGGATCCTGGTGCCCATGCATGTGCCCAACATGTTTTCAGGACTAATCTGGGATCTGATCCTGTAGTTGCCATATGGCTTCCCAGGACACTTTCATTACCACTGCCACAGAGGGTGGGCTGGAAGACATTCTTTATGTTCATAGTTCTTATGTAGCCTAAAAACAAAGCAGATACACAAATTTTAAAAGTACTATTAAGGGACCAGTGGATGGTATAATGGTTACGTCACTGGACTCCCACATAGTCGACTGTGGTTTGAGTCTTGAGCCCGGTGCCTTGAAACTCATGCATGGTGTGTGTGCATGTGTGTCCAAAATCCTGAAATGAGATTGGAGGAGAAGGGATTGCAGCGTGGCCATCCTCCTGGGGAGTGATTTCTCACTTTCTGTCTTTCTGGCGAGCACACACGCACTATAGCAAAAACCTCTCCCCCTCAAAAAAAATTCATATAAAGTAATGATAAATAAAATTAAATAAATAAAATTTTTTGGAGAGGTTTTTGCTGTAGGGCATGTGTGCTCACCAGAAAGACAGAAAGTGAGAAATCACCCCCCATGGAGGATGGCCATGTCGCAATCCCTTCTCCATTCTCCTCTCAGGATCTTGGGCATGTTTGCACACGCACTCAGAGTGAGTTTAAGCCACCGGGTCCGGGACTCGAACCGTGGTCGACTACATGGGAGTCCAGTGACATAGCCATTATGCCAACTGCTGGTCCCCACCCCCCACATTTTTAAAAGTCTTTTTTTCTCCCTTGAACCAGGAAAAAAGAAGAAAAATTAGACTGGATGTACCAGGGTCCTGGTGGGATGGTGAACCGTGATGAGTACCTGCTGGGACGCCCTATTGACAAATACGTCTTTGAGAAGATGGAGGAGAAGGAGGCAGGGTGTTCTTCTGAGACAGGACTCCTCCCAGGCTCTATCTTTGCCCCTTCAGGTGCCAATTCTCTTCTCGACATGGCCAGCAAAATCCGTGAGGACCCACTCTTCATCATCAGGTACTGTTGAGGCTGTTGCTTCATTGCTTTCCTATTGGTTTCTCCTTGGCTCTTATTTGTCATGTAAAGTATTGGTCTCCATTTGGACGTCATAAATTTGGAAAGGAAGGTCCATTTGAGATCATATGAAAAAATGTTGGCAAATAGAGTAGACCAGATCAAATTTATTGATTGATCTTTGGTCCTTAAAGATTGGCAGCTTCTTGGAAATTTGGGAATATATGTAGAGTTAACTAGATGGGTGAACAGCCCTTCTTACCCTCCAGTAGCAGAACCTCTTAAAAAGAAACCTTAGGGGGCCAGCAGGTGGCATGGTAGTTAAGGTGCTGGATTCCCACATGGCCGAGGATCATTTGAGTCACAGACCCTGCAGCTTGAAAATCACACTGGACAGGACCAGCAACTGGTGTAATAGCTATGTCACTGGACTTGCATATAGTCTACTGCAGTTCGAGTCCTGGACCTGGTGGCTTAAACTCACGCCATGTGCATGTGCGTGCGTGCCCAAGATCCCAAGAGGAGAATGGAGGAGAAGGGATTGTGGCGTGGCCATACCCCTGGGGGGTGATTTCTCGCTCTCTATCTCTCTGTCTTTCTCTGTCTGTCTGGCGAGCGCACATACCCTATAGCAAAAACCTTTTCAAAAGAAAAGAAAAAAAAAACCAAAACCTCTCCAAAAAAAAAAAAAAAAAAAAAAAACACAACCTCTCCAAAAAAAAAAAAAAAAAAATAAAAATCACACTGGACACATGTGCATACATGCCCAAAATCCCAAGAAAGAGGAGAGTGGAGGAGAAGGGATTACCATGTAGCCATCCTCACTGGGGGGTGATTTCTCACTTTTCCTCTTTCTCTCTCTCTCGAATGAGCGCACATACCCTATGGCAAAAACCTAAACAAATTAAAAAGAAACTTTAGAAACTTAAAACATTTTGGATGCTGAATGAGACCACACTGTGTACATTATATATTTGGTTTAATTTGCATAATTTTGTTTCTGGTGTGTAAAATTGAACATGGAGAAATTTTTTGTTTTGTTTTTTAGTTTGCCATAGGGCACATGCACTCACTGGAGACAGAGGGAGAAAGTGAGAACCCCCCTACAGGACGATGGTCATGCCCTAATCTCTTCTTCATTCTCTTGTTGGAATTTTGGTCATACACACTGATATGCCCAGTGTGATTTTCATTTATTTATTTTTTTTGGAGAGGTTTTTGCTATAGAGCATGTGCACTTGCCAGAAAGACAGAGAGAGACAGAGAGACAGAAAGTGAGAAATTATGATCCGGGGGGATGGCCATGCCGCAGTCCCTTCTCCTCCATTCTCCTCTCAGGATCTTGGGCACGCATACACATGCGCCTGGCATGAGTTTAAGCCACCAAGTCCAGGACTCGAGCTGCGGTCAACCACATGGGAGTCTAGTGATAACCGTTGGTGCCAACTGCTGGTCCCACCCAGCGTGATTTTCAAATCAGCAAGTTTAAGACGAACTATGCAGTTGACCATGGGAGATCTAACTGCCTTAGCCTTAGCCTCCATACCACCTGCTGGCCTGAGGGAAAAAAAAAAAATATATATGTACACACACATATATATATGTGTGTATATATATATACACATATATATGTATATATATTATTAAAGAATTATTTTATTGAACTTTATTTTATTTATTTGTTTATTTTAATTTGACCAGAGTGAGACAGAGAGAGAGGAGAGAGAGAGGGAATGTGAGAAAGCAAACCACTGGGCCCAGGACTCAAACCACGGTCGGCCATGTTGGGGGAGTTCAGTGCAGTGCTCTTAACCACCACACCACCTGCTGGCCCCGAGAAATATATATTTTTATAATTAATTATTTTTATTGCGGGAGGCATGTGTACTTGTTGTATTGTGCATCCTCCAACAATGTGCGATCATGATGTAATCTTTTTTCTGCCATTTCTCCATCCTGTCAGGATTTGGGGCATCCATGCACATGTGTTTGATGTGTTTTTCAAGCTTCTGGGGCTAGAACTCAAACTGTGATTGGCCATCTGAGATCTGGCTCCCAATGTATAGTGCTTAACTTCTGTACTAAGGGGCCAGTCCCTGAAACATTTATTTTTTTATTTATATTTTTTAAAATTAATTTTTATGCATGATATAAAGCACACATGAGAGAGAGAGAAAGAGAGAGAGAAAAGCACCCTCAACAGGGCCTCTGTTATGCCTCAATCCTTTTTTTTTTTAAAGAGGTTTTTGCCTTAGGGGATGTTTGCTCGCTGGAGCAAGAGAGACAGAGACAGTGAGAGGAAAAGGGAGAAATCACTCCCCCCAGAGGATGGCCATGCCACAATCCCTTCTTTTCTATTCTCCTCCCAGGATCTTGGGCATACATGCACATGCGCCTGGCATGATTTCAAGCCATCGGGTTTGGTACTTGAACCATAGTTGGCCATGTGGGATTCTAGCTATGTAATCACTGTGCCATCTGCTTGCCCTGACTCAACCCCTTTTACTCTACTAGCTCCTCAGGATCGGTAACCAGTGTGTTTTTAGATCCAGGGATTCAAACTTACAATTGGTCATATGACTTCTAGCCTTGCAGGGCGCTTGCATTACCACTGTGTCACAGTGGCTGGGTCTATGTTACTATTTTCTTGTTGAATCTCTAACTTCTTTCTAAATTTTCATTGTTATAATACAATATGAACAACTTTGGCTTTCTTTGATTATTTCTTTTTTTTTTTTTTTGGGGGGGTTTTTTTCTTTAGGGGGGGGGGGCTTGCCAGACAGAGGG